CTAATATAACCCCTCTATGAGCTAAAGCTCTAAATCCTAAACCCTAGTATATCCCTTCTATGAGCTAATGTAGTCCTTTAAGGTTCCTTGAAAGGACCCCAAAACTGAGGGGGGGAAACCCAGCTTCGGCAGCCTATCACAAGCAAAAACGTTGGGTTTAGGGGACCTTAGGTTTTAGGGTTTAGGATTTGTGCTGTAGTCTAAACTCCTAGTATCCCCCTTGATATCCCTTAGAATAGTCCCCTATATAATTCCCTGTATAATCCCCTTTAAGGAGTTTAGATTATAGCTCATTTAGGGTTTAGGGCACCACCACTTCTGCAGTCCTCAACCTTATGCAGAAGTAGACTGGGGTTTAGGGTTTAGGGTTTCCTTGATATCGAATCTTGTAATTGAGGATTATTGCATCGTACGCAACAGGGACTGTGGCAAGCTATGGAGCGTTGCACTAGAGGAACCAATCATCTGCAGTAAGACACCTCAAGTTTCTCAAGCTGCCAGACAAAATTTGAAGATAATTAGGTCTAACTAGGGCTAGCGAAGTGGACAAGGAGTGTCGTACAGGGGAGGTGGCAGGCGAACCCACGAACTCTCCCTGTTTGCGGTCTTGTGTGTCAACATCAAACAACTTCCATACAAGGTTCAGGGTTTGGCGTTTAAGGCCTGCATAGGACGCAGCCCTAAGGGCTCAAGTACCCAACAATCATATACCTACTCTACACCTGCACTACAATTACTATTAACCAAAAACCCCAATACCTTACCATTGGTTACTCGGACCTTCTGGGTAGGGTTGCACTGTAGAAGCTGAATATGTACACGTGTTGTTACCTCATAGTCCTGATCTCTTATTGTGTGGATGAAAACCACTCTTTTATCGCGGGGCCCGCCATCCTCTGCTACATATAATATGTCGATGGAAAAGAAAATGGAAGCTGGTATTTAGGGTTCAAACCCTAAAACCTAAACCGGGTTTAGGGTTTAGAGTTCATATACCCCCAAAAATCCTAAACCCTAAACCCTACATGAACCCTATACTGAACCCTATTGAACAGCCTCCCCTGGTCATCAAAATGCGTCCGGGCTTTCCAGGGATTCTCTGAAACGGGTTATGTAGGGTTATATGGGGATATATGAGGTTTAGGGTCTAGGGTGTTTGAAGCCTTTTTGTGGCTGGCCTGCGGCATTTCGTAAACAGGCCCTTGTGGACGTTGATTTTCCATGCCCTTTGTCGGTTTCTGTAGCGCCATATGGCTGTTTCCAGAAATAGGTGGCCCCGATATAGGCCCAAACATACTCATGAAATAACCGGGTATCTTTGGGGAGAGGTCAAGTATTGGGGTCCCTTAAGCAGCCCCACTGCAAGCTTAGGCATGGCCTGCGAAGCCTGAAATTTAAATCCCCACTGCCCAGTAAACCTGAATCTCCACATCCTACACCTCAATCGTAAATCAGTTCTTCCCCTCCCTCCTTGCGGTGTCCCACCTTGCTCTTTCCCTGCCTGTCCTCGCCCCAGATATGTCTACAACAAAAGCTAAGTAGGTATGTAGCGAAACACCAGCTCTTATCATCAGAGACTTCATTTTACTAACTGGTCATAGTTTCGGCTTGTGCCTACCTATTAGACTCGAGACCAGTTAAGGACCTTAATCTAAGTTACTGCAAGGGTTCCAGTATAATGTAGCGTTTAGGGTTTAGGAAACGGCCTGGCTTGGGGATTTGCCGCGGCGCGATGCTGTTCCATGCGCCGAGCGCCTGCTGCATTTGAGGTGTGGAGTTTTGTAATCCTGAGGGTCGAAGTGCTTGTTTGATACTATATGAGCCATAGTCTAAACTCTTAGTATCCCCCTCATTAACCCCTGCAGTAGTTCCCCATATATTCCCCTATATAACCTTTCTTTAAGGAGTTTAGACTATGGCTCATATCTTACCGAAGACCTTGTACAAGGCATGCAAGGGAACGATCGTGGTAGTGAATCAGGCTTCTACGATACCGCAACTGGATCCGTAAAACCCTAGACCCTTCAACCGTTTGTAGTTTAAGCCCAGGACTTGAGGTTAACGGTTGATGGCATATCGGGGTAGTTCCTCTGGCGGTTAAACACAATAAGATTATAAAACGGTTTAGAGCTTAGGCTTTAGAGTATTCTAGGTCTTTACAGTAAGGTTTTAGATCTTTACAGTATTATATCCAAAAGGAGAATCTAATCTTTCCGCTGTTGAGCGGGCTATAATTTCCCCGCTTAACTGCCAGACGCATGGGGGTGCACTATATCCGGGCACAGTTGTCGGGAATCTCCAGTGTCTGCAGCGGGCGTTCAGGATTGAGGCTTCGACGCTGTAATTCCGAGCTCTGCTGTTAAAATCAGACATAGCACTCACATGAGCTTACAACTCTTTTGAACAAGTTGCTGAAACTCCTCGTGCCAGGCGACTAAGCTTGGCGTCAGGTCTTCTTAAGCTGCAGGAATGTTGAGAGAGGCTCCCCAAAGGAGATGTTATCCAAAATGCTGGTAATGTGCGGGCCATATAACTCGAATAGGTTTCGAGCTCAATGTTCTTAACAAGCTTAAGCGAGCCACAACTTGGGTTATAATTGGTCATTCATTGCTGGGGTTGCCCAACTCCCTACCTCGGCTGCAACGACCCCTGAACCCGAAACCTTATACATTCCTCAATACTTCCGTATAACCCCTATATAGACCTCATACACGCAATGAGTTATAAATACCCATGAGCTTGAGATAATCCCCCAACCCTAAACCACATCAGGACTAAAATCCTAGTATGCCCCTTAATAACCCCTTTCATAACTTCCTGGTTTTCCGTTACATGACCCCATTTTAAGGAGGTTAGACTGTAGGTCACATCAGGGCTCCTCCGGGCCGCCATGGTTCCGTCCAAGAGACCGCTTAGAGCTTTAACGCCGTCCGAGCCAATGATACTGGCTGCGGCGGCACCGCGCAGTGGTAAGCTCAAGGCATGTGCTGATCTAGGCTGGTACTGCCCAAGATGGCTGGCATATCTGGCAGAAATCTATGCCCATGATATGGTAGTTTCCCAAAATAGGGGACCCCAATATAGATCCCAAAATACTATAGTCCTTATTATTGGGACCCCCAAAAGGGTACCCCTAATTTTGAGAAATCCCCATATTGCGCAAAGGTGACTAATTTCATTGCACGGTGTAATGCACAATGTCTTTGAAGGTCCGGGAGATGACCCTAGAGGGTTTAGGGTTTAGGGTAGGGTTTAGGCTAGCATCATCAGCAATCTAGGACTGACAACTTCAGGGAGTTTTCCTTTGTACCCTTAGGGTTTGTACCCTTGGGTTTGGGCCCCTAAACCATGGAATATGGCCCTCAATAAGGGTATTTGGGACCCAAAACCTAGGGGTACAAACCTTAAGGGTACAAACTTAAAGTCTTGGACAACTAGGTGGTACCTTATAGACGCCGCCAATCTATAAACAGGGTCCTTTCTACCACAACTGCAGAAATCATAGACGATCCCTTAGGTGAACCCCCCACCCAGTAATAGTGACTATTACGGATAATGAGGATTATATCAGGGTCCTCTTATATTCCCATTGTACCACTATTACAGGGTGGGGGTTCCTCCTAAACTATCCCCCAACTGCCACCTAGAAAGTCGATTTGCCAGAGAATCATCCCTGAAAGTACCTGGGACGCAGAATGGGGGAATCCTGCTTTCTCCTTGTTGATTTCATTATGATTGTCACCTGCGCATGTATACCTTGTGGAGCGGGCGCTTTCAGAAAAAAACCAGCTAGTTGGCATGTTGCTTCAACCAAATTGATGCCAAGGAATTTCCAGGACCTCTGAAAACGGATCCTGGGTCGCTGTTAAGGAACTTAAATTACCTTACCATAATGGCTATACATGGTAATTAATATGGTTCCGCCGTTATAGTAACTTAAATTAAGTTCCTTAACAGCAACCCAGGATCTAATCCAATCACCAAATGCAAAGGCCAGTAGACTCCAAATGCAGATCCCTTGCCCTTGGCTACTTGGATCTTCTCACGTTTAGAAGTAGGAGAATTACAATTATAGCCTATCGTTATGTGTACCTATAACTCGACTGGTAAAAGTTAGGTGGACCCCCCCACCCAGTAATAGTGACTATAAGGGATGATAAGGATTATAGTACGGTCCTCTCATATTCCTCATATACCACTATTACAGGGTGGGGGGTCCTCCTAAGGTAAAAGCCACGAATGAACCTCCAGGTACAACTGCAAGGTAAGAACGGACAGCCCCGGGACGGTCAGCGCTGCTATAGGTCAGCTTCACTCATCTATAATCTAAAATCTTAGTGTCCCCCTTAATAATGGAGAATCAAATGGAAAAGAAAATGGAAAATGAAATGGAAACTGGTATTATATATGGGATTATAAGGGTTATAGTCTAAACTCTTGGTATCCTCCTTAATAAGCCCTGTCATAGTACCCTATATAATCCCGTATAAAACCCCCCTTTAATTCAGGAGTTTAGCATAGGGCTCGTTCATGAATGGACGTTCTGTAAAGAGCTGTGGGCGTTACTCGTGCGCTAGCTCTTGCGGGGCCTGATTACTTAGACAGACGCAGGCAATATGCCTTTCGTTGATAAGCATTCTTAAGCAAATCTGGATGCAAGGCACGTAGTTCTCGAGTCCTACGTTCACACGGCAGCCACATCAAAATCAAAACCGGCGCTCCCATATTCAGAACACTCTCAAATGTATCTGATCTGCAGAAATCTCCAGACTGGCCACGATGAAGCCAGTAATTAATAAGCTTGAGCCTAAGAACACCCTGCTGCGAACAAGAAAGCCCGTCCCTTCAGTCCCTACTGCCCATACCGTACCTGGACCCTCCAGTGTTTTAGGGTTTAGGGTTTAGGGTACGGTTTTTGGGTTAGGATTCTTCTTGAACACCCCCCCCACAAGAGTCACACCCAAAACGAAAACCCAAAACCCTGGTGCACGAGCGTGTGCCTCCCGGGTGTTCGGGCTATGGATAGGCGATGCATTCCTGTAGCGGTTTAAAGGTAGCCACAGCTTCACCCCAAACCCTAAACCCTATCAGTAGTAGTAACCCCCTAAAGACAAGATACGACCCACAAAGGTGCAGGTAATTTAGGGCTTACGGCCTAGGGCTTGAGCCAAGTCCCACATGGTTGAATTGAAACAAGCGGCCGAAGCTACTCCCTGACACGCCTTGCCACTCTCTAAGCTCTCGTACCCGAAGTAGTTGGGTTTGCTGTTGCAGAATGCTGGAGCATGCCTTGAGTTCTTTCTTTCTGCGTCAGGGGCAAGAAAGCAAACACTTCCCCCTCGACCCTAAGACCTCATTGGTAAACGCAAAGCTACTTTCACGACAGGACTCTTGGTGATTGATGGGTAGCTACAATTTGGGCTATGATACGTAGAAGAACTGCAGTTATGACATAAATTACAGCCAATCTAGTGTACTCGAAGCCTTGTTCATAACTAATTACCCACGAGCCTCCAGTCTCGCACTATCATCCTAAACCCTAGGCATCCAAGTATAAAAATGATACCTACATTGGGCCCTAAAGTCTGCAAATACTACCTACACTGGGCTATTTGGTAGTTTCCCAAAATAGGGGGACCCCAATATAGGCCCCAAAATACTACAGTCCTTATTATTGGGACCCCTAAAAAGGTACCCCTAATTTTGGGAAATGCCCATTTGGATCCCTAGGGTAGACCCTAAACCTCTATGCTCCGCAACCACCGTTCATGTCTTGGCAGTTGTCATGTTGGGAATCCCACATGAGCTACAGTGTAGACTCCTGAGAGGGAGGCAATACAGGGGATTGTATAACGGAGTCTTGTAGGGCTTATTAAGGGGGATACTAGGAATCTAGACCTTAGCTCATATGAGATTTTCCAAAAAAATTGGCGGGGAGGGGGGGCGTGGTTCCCTGTCTAGGGCTCCCTATACTGGAGAGTGTAGATGTTGGGGTCGCAATGGGCACTACCATATAGCACTACTCCTCTTCACATATTGGTAGAAATCACCAGAATGGATCCTATCACTTCGACACAAATCCACCTTGCAAGCCAGTGTGAGCTGAGTAACCAAACATACTAAACCCTAAACCCTAAACCCCTAAACCCTAAACCCTTAACCGTGTCTCATGCCCCGATGCGGCTGCAAGGAGAGGCCCTTAAATTCTACCCATAGTCCCCTTGAAGTAGATAGAACATGGCTTTGGGTATCTTATAATAGGATTCCCATATACCCCATATTCTACCTACTTAAGCGGGACTTTTGTTCATTTCCAGCCCCCTTGTCATTTTTGATCTCCGGTCTGGAAGTCTTTTAGTTTGGGACTTAGGCCACTCATTGAAACGACAAACAAAATACATTCAAAATGGTCAAAGCCCGAAACGCGCGCAACCCAAACAAAACATTGTGTGCCCAAGAAGCTCCACGGAAGGGCAAGCCCTGGCTTCGAATGTGTTTTAAGGTTTACCTAAACCCCCAAAGTAGGTAAAATAATGGCCCAAATCCCCTAAATATAGCCCAAAAGGCCATTATTCTACATACTTTGGGGGTCCAGGTAGGGCTTAGGGTTTAGGACTTGGGGCTTCCGCGACTGTGCGAACAGACAAGCCTGGACAGGGCATGGGCGTCTTTGAGCCTTTTGAGAGGACCGCAACTTGTTGAGTAAGTAAGGCCTACCTGGACCCCCAAAGTATGTAGAATAATGGCCTTTTGGGCTATATTTAGGGGATTTGGGCCATTATTTTACCTACTTCGGGGGTTTAGGTAAAACACTACAATATTGACCCCCCAGCCCCAAACCTCAAAAACTTACACCTTTCTTTGCCTAAAGTGGCCTACTATTGGGGTGTGTAACACATTTCCTAACTCCAGATTATCGCGAAGTAATACTGGTATACCAGAGATACACAGGGATCTTTTGTATTGCCTCATCCAAGCTACTATTGCCTGATGCTCCTTGCATAACTATAGCTAAGCCCTACACCTTCAACCCTAATTCTATCATGTAGGAGTTTCAGGAAATAGATGGGCTCTCTTTACATGACCCACAAACGTGTAATCCTCGTTATGGGGACCCTCCAGACGCATAATTTTTTGGGAAGCCCTTATCTGGGCTCGTATTCCTTGTATAATATGACCCCTCTACCTTGAGGGACCCAGCAGTTAGGAAAATTACATTTATACCCTTAATACAGCCATTTCACCTGCCGTTATAAGTAGGTTACCTAAACCATTAGCAATCCTTGGGCAATACGAGCCCCCAAATAAAGCCCGTTTCCAAGTCATTTCCCATTTGATTCCATTATTGGGTATACTAATGTGATACTACAAAATCCTGCATGACCTTAGTATACTATAGTACCATTATTCCCAAGGTTTGAAGTACTTAGGGTCATGCAGGATTTTCAGTATCCAACCCTGAAACCCCACACCCCTAACCCCAAACCTTAAACCCTAACCCCTAGACCCTTAACCCCTAAAACCCCTGACCCCTAAACCCTCAAAGTATCCTTAACCCCTAAACCCCAGCTGTCCTTGATGCAGCCGAGGCAGCCTCCTTCCAAATTAGAATGGTTTAGGGTCTAAACTCTCAACCCTTATAAACCAAAAACCCTAAACCCTAAGCCCTAAGCCCCCAAACCTACACCAGACGGTTTAGGGCTTGAGGCTCAGGATTGATAAAAAGATGGAACGTCTCTGGTTTTGGGCTAGGATGTAGGGTTTAGGGCTTGGGGATTGCGGTTTGAGATTTAGGGTCAAATGATTTGAGTGTAAGGTCCAGGAGAAAAGGCTATAGTCCCCCTTAAGTAGATAGAATATGGCTTTGGGTAGATTACAAAAAGATCCCCATACACCCCATATCCTCTCTACTTAAGGGGTACTAGAAGGGAAACCCTAAACCCCTAACCCCTAAACCCCTGGTCAAAAGTGCAGGTCAGGCTCCGGAATGATGGGTTCAGCTTTTGGGGGTTTAGGGTTTAGGGCTTAGGGGGAGATTAGGGTTCTAGGTGGTCCGTACCTTGCCCCAAGTCATATGCGGGATTTAGCATACTTTGAGGGTCCTGGGTGGTTGTACTTGTTGGCGTAGGCAATCTCAAAGGTCTATAACTTGGATTTCAAGCTTTAGGTCCCCAAGAGTGTGATGGCGATATGAAGGTAGGGTTTAAGGTTTAGGGAGTGTATGGTTTCACGGATTCCGGGGTGGGGCGGTTCATTTGTCCCATTAAGAAGGTGCTCTAGTAGAGGGCTTAGGTTTCAGGACCAGCCTTAGGTTTCGGAACAAGCCTGTAACCCCGAACTACGCACCGTTTACACCCTAAACCCTAAACCCCTAAACCCCTGAACCCTAAACCCCTAAACCCTAAACCCTAAACCCGCCAGTTCAGGCCCGAGCTCGTTCAGAAACAACACACTGCAGTCCCAAATCAAGAGCCGAGAAGCTTATTTGATTCCCCATTACAACCCTTCAAGCTGTAGGTAATGGGGTTACAGGAGGGTTTGAGGTCTGGGGATTTCGGTTTAAGGGCTCAGGCTTCCGATGAGGCTCTACCTCTAACCCCGATTACCTGCAGTTTTCAGGGTTATACCAATGCTTGGGGTGTAATTACTACTATACTGTAGGTAATTGGGGTTACAGGTAGGTCCAGGATTCGGGTCTGGCGTTTAAAGGGTGTAGATGTTTTTTCTTTTTTTTGCGCGCCTCGTTGGGCGACGTAGCCATTACCTGTTTTCACGACAAGCCCTTTCAAATGTTGGCTTTCCTTCTATACTCAGGTCTTCAATTGTTTGCAAATAGAGATGGGCGTGCCCGCTACATGTTTGGGGTGAATTCTGACGGTCGAACATGTTGCTTGGAAAATTCCAACATGCCCTACACAGCTCTCACATGTACAAGGCTGCACAATCAAGAACATGCAAAAAACGTCGCAAAGCTTCAGAGGCTTTGTTTTGCACCGGGAAGCCCAAAACTCCGTAAGCATTAGAAGCAGGCTGCCAACTTAAGAGCCTGAGCCAAGCATATAGGTCCATCCTTCCTTCAAACCGTGAAACATCAGTTCCCGAAACCTGAACCCTACACCTTGAAGGCGCTTCTCCAAGTTCTGAAGGTATGGATGCCTTGTAAATCCTACAGTGGGGCTGCGAGGAACCTGGGTGAAAGGGTGCAATGGATCTCAGAATGCCTGGAATTTAGGTACTGTCCCCACCCAGTAACATTTGGACAGTAATTTGAATAGATATGACTCCTATAGTATTATGAAGTGTTACTGGGTGGGGCAGTACCCAACCCAGAACCCTGTCACCCTTTCTGAGTACCAAGGACCCTGGTTTGAGGATCAGATCCCCCATATAAACCCATAATAACCTTAATATGCTAATACACTCCCCGCATATGTCCAATGCACTTCTATAGGACTCACTATAGGATCTAATGTCAGATCCCATTGGGGGTCTGGGTCAGCATTACTACTCAGTACTCCCCAATGCTCCCCTTCCCCCTTGAACCCATCCCCTTTACTGTAGGGACCTACACCCACAACACAACACCCTAAACTCTTCGCCTCTAAAACCCAAATTCGAAATCTTAAGCCCTCGAATTCTGAGCCCGAAAGCCTAAATTTCCAGCCTTTCGACTCCAAACCCTCAGCGGCCTAAGCCTGAAAGCCGTACAAAGAATTGGGAGTTTCTCAAAAGAATCTCAGTCTCTATATCATGCGTAGATGGGAACCCCAACATCTCCATACAATCCCCATAGGTCCCTGAGGTTCTTGGGGGTCCCTGACTTTAAGAACTGCCCCTAGGCCTTCTCGCTTCTCATGGCTGCAGCAGCCAGTGCAGCCGCACGCGCCGAAGGCGTCGCGGACTTGTCATCCTCATCGCAAGGTGCTCAAGCCGAGGTGTATAGGGATTATAAGGATCATATAATGTTTATATAGGGGGTATGTAGGGTTCTATATTGGGTTTATATGGGGATACTGGAAAAGAAAATGTTTAAAACAATACTGTGAAGATCATCTAACTGCTACTGGGCGGGGCCAGAACTCCAGGTCTAGGGTTTAGTGTTTACTCCTTGAGTTTACGGTTTACTCATTTCTTGCACCTAAAGGGACATGAGAAGCCCCATACTGGGAGAAATCGGGGGACCCTGGGAGCCTACTAGAGGAGTGATTTGCGTATCTTGAACTCCAAACCCGTCATGCTAGGCTGCACATCGAATCAGTACTAGGCTGTACAAAAACCTAAGAAGGGGTCCTGTGACATTAAAACTTTTTGTGAAAGTCACAACGCCATGGAATAGTCCAGTTTAGCGGCTGTGCCGGGGTGCCCAATCCCACCGTCCACGAAAGACTTTGCAAAGCTACCCTTAGGAACGCTAAAGCCCCCGCAACCACACATGGAAGGAAGGCCATATCGCCGTTTGTGACCAAAACAGAAATCCTACAGGTGGATGAACAAAGCCTGAGCCCTGGATTGCGGCCTCCATCAATCAAATACGGACCGTATCACCTTCAGATTCCCTTTTCATGACCGCTCGTATGGGTATGGGGCTCCAAGCTACAACCCCAAACCCCTTCAAGCCCGATTAGTCGGGTGCTTTTGTGTATATAACGCCCCATACATCCACAGGGCTGAAATGGTGCAGGCCTCTGATAACATGTTCATTCACCTTTAAAACTATTGTCAAGTCCGCGCTGAATCTTAAGCCCAAAGTCTTACCTCAGGCACTGCTCCGTAACAATTCCATATTGAATCCTCCGGCCGTTGGCCTAAATCTTTCACCCCGAGGCTCAGCCAAGAGTCGAGCCCGGACCCAACACATGATTTCCCAATTTTCGAGTGGGATTATACCGGAAAAGGCTGAAGATTGCAACATTAGATAGACAGTCGGGCCTCTACATGAAGTACTACGATTGGCAGAAATGAGCCTGCATGACGCTAAATACGTATACCTCAGGACTTAGGATTTATAGCTTAGGAGGACCGCCCATCCTGCAATAGTGGCATAATGGGACTATAATAGGACCCTAATGTACTCCTTATTATCCTTTACTGTCACTATTACAGGGTGGGGGTGTTCTCCTAATTTTTAGCACCAACAGCACACCAGGCGCTCGGCCGCGAATCTGATGGGCGACCTGGCGGCCTGCAACCAAAACTTCCAAACTTGACCGCATGCATGCAGGGAGGTACAGTTTTTTGGGGGCTTCCGTTAGGGGCTAATGATATATAAATATCTGCATACATGTGGTTGGTTCGGGGGGGGTAGATGTATGTGTGTTTATACACGTGCGTATATGTATATATATATATATGTTGCCATACATACATACAGACATACATGCATGCATACACACCTTCGTACATACATGCATGTAAACAAACATCAAGAGGGTGTATAATGTCAAGACCAGGTTGAGAGTTCAAGCTTGTGAGCCATGCTGCCCTATACATCTACAAATACACACATACACACTAGCAGAGTTTGCAAGGTCACGACCAGGTTGCGAGTTGAAGCTTGCAAGGAATTATGGGTTTCTCCACCTGAATCGACTACCGATCTCGACCTGTCATTGTACTGCATATGGCTGCTTGTAAAGCTCGGGGTCCTTCTTATGTAAGGATCATACACTACTTGGGGCAACGGCCAAGGTTAAAGTTGAGGGTGTCGGGCTTAAGGTTTAAGATTCCTGGTGCCTAGCAGGCCACTCACTTGCTAGTGGTTAGTTGGGACAGTAGAGTTCAGGGACGGCCCCTTCAAGCTCCAGTTGCTGAGCAATTGTGACTTCCTCCATTTGAGTTTGGAACAGCTTGCTCTTATACGGCATGCTTCTGGTTTCACTGACTTAGATTCTCTTGCCCTAAGCCCGACAAGGTTTAGGAATTCAGGCTATTTGGCGCAACCATTATGGAGTTCCAAGCTTTAGCCTTCAGCATTGTGGGTCACAGGGCTCGAGAAGTAATCGTAAGTGCACCTTATCTTCGAATTGTATGGTTCCCTTTTTGCAGAGACTAAAGTTTCGCGTGAGTACGGGTTTGACAAAAACTTAAACGCAGAACTTCCACGCCCCCAAACCATGTTACGGGGAAAAGCGGGTAATGGGATCTTACTGGGACATGAGACGTCCCCGAGCTCGGCGGAACTCAACAACACCTTCTCATAAACGTCCCACTTGCAGTCAGGACTTGGTATGTCGAGGGACAACATTGCGCATAGACAGAGAGGATCACCAACAGTCTACCAGCTTACGGGGCGCCCCTACGAAGGCCCGCGCACCAGTTTGGGGTATACAAGGTTTCGAAGCTTATGGTAGGTTTACTGGTTTTCTCGTTGAGGGGTTGCGCGTGAAGAGCCCCTGCAAGTCTGGGACATCCCCCAATTCTGTCAAAGCTTCACTATGCCACTGGACCCAAGTAGTAGGTTCCCTTTGAAAGGACCCGAGTCGTTATTGCGGCCCTTTGGGCTTCCGCGTTCGCAAGGGAAAGTGTATGGATTCACGATGATGGAAGCTACCTAGCTTGGTCCACGGTCCTATGCCATAGCTAAAGTTCAGGCTTCAGAGTTTAGAGTCTAGAGCCTACAGTAAGGTTTGCAAGGCCCCCAGCCCTACTGAATGGACCCTGGAGCTCGGCAACAGAAACCCGAAACCCTCGGTGAGAAGCTCCTTAGAACCTGCCGGGAGGAGCAACGGACTGAAGCTGCGTTAGAAGTCAAGCTTAGCTGGTAATTCATTCCACTTCAAAAGCTTCTGAATGTGTAGCCATCGCTTAGGATCGTTTCAGAAAGTCCTTGAATCTCCCAACCCCAAGCCCTAGACTCCAAACTCTCACATGGCCGGCGGAGCCTGGGTGGCTCGAACCACGGTGCGCCTGGCACAGTGGTAAACTGGTTGAGACCGCGGTTTAGGGCTTAGGGTTTAGGGTTTAGGGAATGGGCTTTTAAGGGGTTATAGCTTTTGAACAAATTTGCTTTTCAAGTTGAGGTTCTGGTTGAACCCTCAACTGCACCCTTGATCAAGGAGACCCTGTCTAAGGGGACCTTTTGAACATCCCTGACTCATGAGTTCCCCTACTACCCCCCTATACTAGCAAACCTCCGTAAATTACCCCTGAGCTAAGGGGCAAGGGCTATTTAAGGTTCCAAGCGCTCTGCACGAACTCTGAAGAATCCAAACCTTACGCCTGGCCCCCGGGCTTTAGGTTCATGGCACCATCTATCACGAAGGGAATAATGTAGAGGAGAATCAAACGCACAGGAACATGGAAATGAATCGGAGGCTCGGGCTATGAAGAGGTATGCTAGTACCAGGTAGGTAAGATGCGGATCTTAATTTCCCAACCAATGAAATCAGGACCCAATGTAACCATATGAAAGCTTTAGCTTCCCTATTGTAGATCCAATGTTGGGCTTCGGTGCTCTTCCGAAACGTGCAAAAAGGCGCGTTAACAATTCCAAAACATGCTGGCAAGGGAAGGGGCACAGACTGAAACTGGTTGATCCAATGTGTCCATGTCCGTAAGACCCAACTCCAAAACCTTCAACCCCGAACCTAAACCCCCAAGACCCACACCCTGAACTCTGAAGCTCTAGAAAAGCCAAGCCCTAAAAGGCTCAACCCCACACCCTAAGCCGCACAAAGACTCGGAACAGCTGAGTTGCTGTTGACGAACTTAAACTAAACTAAACAAAGCAGTTTCCTGAGAATGCCAACTTAGATGACGTTCCTTAGCACCAACCCAGTCATATTCATACGCCCTACGAGTCCCAACTTCCAGATCATCCTCATATTGGAACCTTCAACACCCGTCACCTCCTCACCCCAGGTGTTGCCATGTTAATATTACTTGAACCAAGTCAACTCTGAACCTTGATCCCTTGAACCTACACCCCCTAAACCCGGACCCTGCTCCAGCTGGGTAAACAAAAGCCCATAAGTCTGGCGTGCTTAGGGTTCAAGGCTTATATTTAGGGCTTAGGGTTTAGGGTCAGGGTTATCTACCCGGCAATTTCCAACCAACCCGACGCTCCCATAATACCCACCTTGTATTCCAGTTGGATATTGTCGTATTCTCCACTCTTGTAGCAAAACTCCTAGACCCTATAATAACCTCTGCATACACCCTATGCAATCCCTATACAATAGCCTCTGTATTATCTCAGTGTAATCGGGATTTGTCCAAACCCTAAACTCTGAGCCGTGTGGTATTTGGGTTACTTAGCAGCCAGCCACACAAGCGCGCACAGCTGACAAAGACTCGGCCGGCAACTTCAAAAGCGACGAGCGCTCGGCCTGCTTCCTGGCATGGACCGGCACGGGGGCTTAAGCGGAGGCTGAAGGGTGTTAAGGGTCGTTGGGGGGGGTGGGAGGAAGTGTTGGGGATTCAAAAAAACAGTGGGGTTGCAGGGAATTTTGGATGCTCATGCTTTAGGGTGATCTGATCCTTTGGGTTTACTGACCTCTGGTGAGCAGGGAATGAAGGACTGAAAAAAAGAAACTAACATATTATTGGTGATTCGAAAAGGGACTGCAATCAGTATACATTCTTCCTTGATAACAAAAAGGTAAGTTTAGGGGCTAGGGGTTGGGGTTTCGGGGTGGATGAAGGGGGGGTTAAGGGGTGAAGATTTTTGGTTGAGGGTTTGGGGTGTCAGGGCATTTACGGTCTTAGGGGTTGAGGGGCTCTATGCATGGAGTGTAGGCTTTCCCCCTTTGAGGATCACATGGTAGCAGTGAAAAGAATTGTGGCGGTTGCCAGACAGAGCCGTGGCTGGGCCAATGCACCTTGACAGGCTTGGCATCAACAGTTTAGGGTTTGGGATTAGGGTTTAGGGTTTAGGGATTCGGGTTTACGGTTTAGGGTTTGGGGATTAGGGTTTAGCGATTATCTGCGACAAGGTACACGCCATGCTGCACACAAGAGCCGAGGCAACGAGACCGAATCCCTCAACCCTACAGCAAAGGAAATACTAATCCCAATCCTAAGATTTTTTGGTTGTTAAACCCAGTAAGATTATATTCTTTATATAGAATACAATACCCCAAAAGGAGGATAGAATCTTACTCTATATTGGGTACCATAGTATCCCCCCAACAAATACTACTCTTGTGCCAGTCAGAGAGAGAACGTCCTCCTCATGAGGACCTGATTCGAGTCGCTTTCCGCGCCTATGCTTGAACTTTCATTGCTTCTCCCTTTCTTATTGCTAAGTGAGAACATGAGAGAACATGAGTTATATTCACTCCCAAAGCACGGAAGAAGAACTAATCTACGGCAGAATAAGTGATCTACAAACCTGAAAGACCTGAAAGATTCTGAATCCATCCTCCTCTCGTCCGTGGAGCCCTAGTTTCAACACAAAACTCAAGCGGTAGTTTCCCCAAATATGCAATATATACCCTAGCATACTATAATCCTTATTATATGCACCCCAAAAATGGACCCTTGATTTTGGGAACCCCCCAAACGTCGTCGCAACCCCTAAGCAGCCAAACAGGAGGGGCACCCAGGACTGCAGCTGCTCGACTGATTGTGCCACGTGTGGTGGCGAGCCCTTAGACAAGGTTTGCTCATGGCTCCAATTTCTGGCCCAAGTAGGTATATGAATAGACACCAGTGCTGTCGTAAATAGAAACTCTTGGAGGCAATATAACCTGGTTCTGTATAAGTTGTGAAATCCCTGCCTAACTATCAACCACCTAGTTGGTATATTGAGACCCCTACAATCCACAGAATGATCCCAATCATCCCCATTCTTAACCTACCTCCTAAGCCTGTGCTAATGCTCGGGGCTGACATGCTCAAGAATTAGGAGCAGAACTTAGCAAATCTCGCTCGGCTCTCTGAGGGATCAGTTTCAAAAGGGTTTAGGGTCCCTAAACGCTGAGCCCGACAACACGAGGGGCTCTCTCGCAGCAGGGTTCAACCGTACAGCCGAAACCATGTAAGATTACTTCGACCTTGGACCCTGAGGGCTGTACTCCTAGGTTCCGGCTCTGTGTAAGGACACCATAAGGGGAGTAAGTTTCGGGCTTCAGAAGGTCATGTCTTTCCCTGAACACTTGTACGGCAACCGAAGGGCTGAGAAGCCGACTATTAGATAAATGCGTTGAATTGTGGTTGAGGGTTTAGGGGTTAGGGTTTAGGTATGGAGTCTGTAGAGCTAGCAGAGGAACTTCCTGTAACCCCAATTACACACAACTTCCTAGCATTTACCCCTTCAATAATGGGTACAATCCATGTAACCGCAGGTATAACACTACATGAACCCAGTTTCCATTCATTTTCCAAGTTCTTTTTCCATTTGATTCTCCAATATAACCCTTTAAAAGGTAGGAAACTGGAGTTGCAGGTTAGTAGTGTGGATCCCGTATTTTGGGGCTGGGTTTCAAGCGGCTTCTTGGCGGGCAGGTTTGGGCTTTACCTAGACTATGCCATGTACCTACTCATGCACCTACTAAAGAGCTTTTGTGCCTAACATGTGGGCATCCTTTACCCTTTTTCAAATAGCCTAAACCCTAAACCGAACTCCTAAACTCGAGGCTTGGCTTAGTAGAGTGTGACTTGGCATGAGAGGCCCTTCGGGGACTCTAGGGGTATGGCTGGATTATGCGCAGATTCATTACTGGGGTTCAGCTTAGAGGATTTGTATAAGGATTTAGGGTTTGAGAGTTTGAGGGGTTTAGAGTTTAGGGCTTTAGGGTTGTAGGATCATGCTGCGGAACTCTCAGAAGATGTTCAATGAGTTTGCGTTGACCATGATCTTGTTACTGCCGCTGCATCGTCTCTAAACTCTAAACCCTAGACCCCAGAGACAACCCTCAGGCCTAGTTCCCTAATTACAATGCGTCATTGCGGCTTGCCTTGCCTAATTTGGAAGGAAGGAAAGGTCTCATACCTTAGACTGAAGGTCTCCAAGCAAGCGCACAGCTGGGTACTTCCTAAACCCCAAACCGCCTAGGAAACCTTTCGGGGTAGATGTCCCTTGTTACTGTTACTACTAACATTATTACGACTACTATTATTATTGCTAGTGGGGGAGTCCTTCACTCCTGCGGGTACGAGATGTGGATCTGAATTTTGAAAGTTCACCATCCCCTTGTGCCCTTAGAGTTTAGGGGTTAGGGTTTCAGGTCATCCCCTTGCTCCCCAAACCATGAGCCTTTGCAGTAATTTTTGAGAGATATCGAGAACCTTGAGAGACTGGGTTTAGGGTTTAGGGTTTAGGATTTTCAGAGTTACCCAATCCTTGAATGCCAGCTGTGGCACGGAGGCAAGTAATTCGGAATGAAGACAAGCGAACCCTACTTTGGAAACCATCCAAAAACCCCACACCCCAAACACTAAACCTAAACCCTGATGGAAGCCTGAACAATTCCAACAGTTGTCCTTCATAAGCCTCAAGTAACTAAACATAGAATCTACGATCCCAAGCTCTGGCTTAAAGAAATGGAGGTTTCTCAAAAGTAGCGGTACCTTGTGGGGGGTCTCTTTACTAGGGACTATAGTATTTTAGAGTCTATGCTGGGCGCTCCTGTGTATGGAACCTACTGTATAATCCCTAAATAATCCTATCTGTAGTAGCGCCCAATGCGCCTTCTACCTGATTCTCCAGATAATCCTAAACCCTCAACCCCATGTGAGCTGAAGTCAACATTTTCAAGATAATTAATGGACGCTGTTTCCCTCTTAGGGACTATGTTAGAGACTATACAAAACCACAAGAGGGACCCCTATATCCACAGTTAAGGGTTCCTCAATAAGGCTAATATAGACTCATATAGCCCTGTATACTCCCTATATTACCCTAAACCCTAAACCCCATATAACCCGGTATACCCCCTACATAATCCTAAGCCCTGAATCCCAATATAACTACCGTATACTCCGTGTATAATCTCAAGCCTCAAGCCCCAAGCCCGTTATGACCCCTGTATATTCCCTACAAATTCCCCGTATGGTCCCTGTTTATGTATCCACCCTGGCACCATGCTTGAGGGGCCAACTGACTTCGCGTCACCTGCGCAGAGACAGTTGGACAAGATTAGGGTATAGGGATGAGGCTTTAGAGTGTAGGCTCTAGTTAAGGCTGATGGTTTAGAGCTTGAGGTTTCATTAGGGACTGAAGTTAAAGTTTAGGTTTTACTCATTAGGGTTTAGAGTTTAGGGTTGAGGGATTAAGGTTTAGGGATTAGCAAGGCTCAGGGACTAGGCCGGTTCAGCAGGCCGAATACTCCACCTTCAATCCTGAAACCTGATACGTGGGGTTGTCAGAATTATGGGTCCCTTTTTGCAACAAAAAAATATACGGCGCCGTATTGGATTGGGACCCTGAATAACAAGGGGCCATGACAGTTTGGACCACACACCGGATGGGCTCATATACGAGCTTCTCAAACTTTGTGCATCCTTTGTAGGGCTCTTCTTTGACAAAACTCTATAGTCGCCCTTAAGTAGACAGAATATGGGGTATATGGGAATCTTATCATAATATACCCAAAGCCATATTCTATCTACTTACGGGGGACTATAACCCATAGTCCATAGACCTTAAGCAATCTTCAGAACTACTACAATGTCACCGCAAAGCAACCCCTGTAGCAGAAGAGGGTTAACAGTGATGCTTCAAACTGATACTGCGAGTCCAATGCCATACCCCAAACGCTGAACTTTTCTCGTAGAGTCCCCCCCCAAAAAGAAGCCAAGACTTTAAACCCTCACTGCTGGCCGAAAACTCTTAGCCTCTAGCCCTTTAACCCTAGTCCCTAACTGCTCAACCGTAAATACTAGATCCGGGGCCCTAGTCCCTGAATCCTAAACACATACTGTACTCTTAGGGCCTCAGTACTGAAATTCTAAACCCTAAGCCACTTTGCCTTAACGTTACATGATGAGGGGCTTTGACTCGATAAGTAGGACTTTGCTTTGGGCTGGGTTTGCAATCTTTTTACTACGTTAAACCCTCATTTCATAACGCATCTCCTAGGGCCCAAATCCTAAGATTCTAATCCCCGCGCCCTTCCTCCCTAAACCCTAAATCTATGGTTGGAACTTGGGGTCCTTCAAAACCCATTAAAAAAACACACATACACAAACCAAAATACGGACCCATGGTGGGGATCCCAGACTGGATCAAGCCCTCATTCCAAAAGCTAACAGCCCTAACGTAGATCCATGATTAATAAACCCCGTCCTTTTAAGGGCCTTAATATTAGTATCCCTATTATAATTATAATCCTTATTAAAGGGAGGGGGTTTATTTATCAAGGGTTTACATTACCCTAAACCCTAAACTCTAAGCCCGAAGCCAGCAAACGCGCCTTGACGGGAGACTCGCTGCGGCCCTTCCTAGGGCTGACTTCCTGGAAAGGTGTCATTTCACGGTTTTAGGGTTTAGGGCTTAGGGTTTAGGATCTAGGCTTTTTAAGGGTCTAGGGTTTGGGGGTTGTGGCTCAGGGAATTGCTGGGAACGAGGGCTTAGGGCTTAAGGTTTGGTTTAGGGTTGGGGAAAGCTTGTACGCACTTCTCCTCATGGGGATGCGCATGCAAGGAATCAAGGTATAGTAACTCAGCAACTTTTTCAGATATGACCCTCACTGCAAGTATGCACATCAAAGAAGCAAAATTGCAGGGCAACAAGGATGCACATTCTACAAACACGTCGGCCGAGGGGGTAGAAATTCCTTCAAAACCCTATCTAGGATGCAGTCTCTCAGCCTTGAGACACTGCTGTTTAGGGTTTAGGGTTGAGGGGCCAAGGCCTTTGAAACACTTTAGCGTTCAGAACCTGTGCACGCTGTCTTATGCATACACTCAGATAGAGCAACGCTGTGGATGAGAATAACACAAACCAAGATAACGTTGACACTGCCTAACCCAAAGGGTCCAAGTACTTAATAATCACATACTTTCCGAAAACTCGTACTACAGCCTCGACTCGCCAAAGACCAAGACGGACCCTAAAGGTACCCTGAGGGTCCAAGGACTCAAATAATAGGGCCCAAATACCATTCATGGCATAGTATCTGAACTCTAAAACCCTATTGTTTGGGTCCTTGGACCCTTAGAGGTAAGAAGGGAAGAATAGCAGGACTTCAGCTTGTCAGGCTTCGGAGGCTGACTGTAAAACCACTATCCCTGAGGTCTGAACAGGGACCGACATCGCTTTTAGGTCTATTTGAGGTACTTTATCATGCGACACAAACTAACAACAATGTAGGCCCCTACAGTATAAATACTCATTCAGCACTTCTTTTTTTTTTTTGGTGTGGTATGGTCTGCCAAACAGTGCATGCAAGGATGTCCCTCCATCTGGCATTTCCCGGAACTGCGGGTTTAGGGTTTACGGTTTTTGGGGTAAACATCATAACTTCAACCGGAGAAATCACCCATTGCAATCCCTACATGTTCCCCATAACAAGCAGTAACCCTTTTACGCTTGTGCAAAATTTCACCTGGTTGTAGGGGTTCCAGCTCAAACACGTATAGAATCTCTAGGTTTCAGCATGACTTATAATGAGCCCTAACCTCCTTAGCCCACGATTACCCTCAACTGGAAACCTACCCTAATACTTGGGTCAATCCCCCACCCAGTAATGGGTACCACAAGGGACTATTGTAGGTATATTAAGGCCTTATTAAGTCCNNGGGGGATTGACCTAACCTAAAACCCAAATTCTACTGCCTAGACCCTAGACCTTAAACCTCAGCCCCCAAACCCTTGGCGTTAAACCCTAAACCTCGTCGTCTTGAACATCCAACAAGTAACTCCTACAGTTTTCAAGTGATCAAACCGGTATAAATCATTTGTATAACTTACAAAGCTGTCAGTAATTGGTGTTGCAGGTAAGCCCTGTAAGTCTTGATAAGTCCTTCGCAGGTGCAGCCACCTCTGCCGGGGGGCCAGCCTTGCAGTGTGACCACTTTCCCATTTGTGATAATAATTCTTGCAGAAGTAATTACTACACACATAACACTACAAATAGTAGCAGCAACAGCAGCTGCAGAATTACAACTACTAGTACTAGTGCTAGTACGTGTACTGGTACCTATACCAGTAGCAGAAGTAGTAGTAGTAGT